TTCTAAGATGGGCACCCGAAAATACTGAGAGTAACGAAACCAAACCCTAAAAAGAAAAAAGAAAATATTGAACTCACACAAAGTCTTTTTTTTTTTTTTTTTTCAAAACTTGTGATATCATAGAAGTATAGTAAAGGCTTAAGTAGGGAAAAATTGTTCAAGCTTTTGCTCTCTCGCTTTGTGCAACGACATCACTACTCATACAAATGTGAAACACAAAAGAAAGATTTAGCGAAGATACATGAAATTAGGTGTTGAAAAAGTTTAATTTGTTAGCAAGTACATGAAATTAGGTCACCGAACATAACTAACTTATTGTCACCTTATAAGGGCCAATGAGGGCCTACGCTCCCAATCTGGCAATAAATTCACATGGTAGGGAGTGAAGAGTGAGTTTGAATAGCGCCATGTTGGAAACTCTTAATGAGGTTGTCTGTGGATGCTCTAAGTGACCATGTTAGAAACTAACCATTGGAAAGAGACTACTCAAAGCCCTCTTGGCATGGTCCACTGCATGTTGGGGACGGTTAGTGGTTTCAACAAGAACTACCAGACAATCCCTTGTGAAGAGCATTTTCAGTCCTAACCGACAACATTTGGTTATAAAAGCTACATCACTCTTGCCCTAAAGGACATGATCCATCCAGTTAGAGCAGTGCTGATTTCCCTCTTTTCTGCCTTAGGATTACAAATTAATTATGATGCTGCTGGTGGACCCTCAAACTTGCACAAAAAAACTGAAGCCATGCATTTTTCATACATATCCAGTAAAAGATAGGCTACTTGCGCCTCTAATTTGTTAAAGCTTAATTGTATGCCACATCAATCCATTCATCCATTAAATAAGAAATAATGATTGTTCCTACTCACTAACAAGCAATGTTCCAGCCAGCTCTACTCTTTATTTATTTATTATAATCTGCAAATATTTCATGCAACCAGGTATGCATTTTCTACCCACCATTTTTTTTTCTTATCTACGAAGTATCCTAAACTTAAAAACTTAGATTAATATCTTATTATTTCATCATACATATAAGATAAACATAATTATTTAAAAAAATTCATACTTATATAAAAATTTAAAACTAAAATCACTTAATTAAGCGTTCTACCCACCATCCTTGAGAAGAAAAAAATATTAGTAGCAAAAAGTCAAGGTTTAAGGCACCAAATCAATAAAGACACCGGCTTTTACATGTAACAAATTATGGGTTGATGGCACATGTTATCTTTGCACTCTCAATGTTCAATAGATTTTACTCTTATATAAATATTGACTCTATCCTTTTATTAGGTTCCATTATATTTTTTTTCCCTTCCTCGAGTTCCATTAAATTAAAATTATTGCAGTAAAGTTTTACTTAAAAAAAAAATTGAAAAGTTATTATGTTTTCTCTATTAAAAATTTTATTCAATTAAAATTAGAAATTAATTAGTGTTCGATAAATTAAATTAAAACCATTCGGTAAAGTATACACCTTTTCCTCTAATTGAAAAAAAGGTAATTGGGTATTTTAAAAAACAAATTAGAAATTAAATTGATAGTTAGTCAATATTATATAAATTAAAATAATATTATTTGGTATAAAAATATAAATTTTTCTCAACGATTTTAATTGAATATTCAATTTTGGGTTTTTTCTTTTTCAATGTTTGATCATTTTTTAATTTCCACATGCAAATATTTTTATACATCGATGTACAGTTCTTTGGTACGTGGCATCCAACGTAGAGCAACTACATGAAAACTGAAAAGACAAAACCTTAACAAAACTTAAATAAATTTTTTAAAAATAGGACTTTAATTTAATTAAAAACACAAATTTTGAAACAAACATCAATGACCTTCTTTTAAAAAATATATATATATTTGTAATTGGTTCTTTTAGTGAGAGAAAAAAAATTTCTTTAAATTAAATTTTACACATGTCACCTTACAAATATGTCGCATGTTCTAAACCAATTATGGTCTATTGTTTGCTTAATCTAGACATATTTAACCATGAATATATAACTAAACATAAATCAAAATAATAGTATAGGTACAGACTAAACTAAATCAACATAATACATGAACTATTTAGTGCTTTATATATATATATATATTTCTTCTTTAATTCATTATTACTCATCCATTAATTTTTGATTTATTGATAAGTAAGTTTGTTCACTTGCAATAATTTATATCATCTAAATTTTAAATCCAAAAAAAAAAAAAAAGAGCTGGAAGAAATTATTTTACGAAAGCATCAACTTAATTAAGTACGAGTCATCCTAGTTTTTTTTTTTTTTTTTAAATATTTTATTAGAACAGAATATATATATACACACACATGTGTGTGCGCGCGCGAGAAAACTCATCCGAGGAAGGTGAAACTTGAAGAGCTAAGTAATACCTAGAATCCAGCTCCTTAAGATTCTCTTATATATAAAACAGGCAAATATGGTGGAACTTAAGAAATTGTAGCTCAGATTGGAAAGGTTAAAGGATGTTTGTCTATGGTCCATTTTCCTATTCATATGAAATTAATTGATATATATAAGCTGTTTACATCAAGTTTTTAATTTAAGAAATTAAAGCCTCCCAAATTTCTATGAAAGCGATGCATGAACGCAATGGGCCGTGAAGCCCGGGAGGTGCATGTGCTACTAACATGGTAGGCCCTTATCAAATTCTATATACATGAATTAATTAAATCAACTAAGTCACAGGTAAGCATGAATGTTCTGTATGGAAAAAATATTTTTTTAATATATATTTGTATTTGAGTCCTTATCTTACTTAGTTGAGTGTTTACACCAAAAATTAAATTTAAAAAAAAAAAAAAATTCTTATCGACTCCTAGTAATTAAATTAAATTGAGTACCGGTGATAGAGACTCGAAGGGATGGATTATATATCGGTCAATGGTACTCACTTGTTTAAAAATCAGCAACCTTAGATGACTTTAATGGTTGATACTTCCAAAAGCCATTCCTAATATTAGTTTGGTCAAATATGTTTTTTGTCCCCCTATTTATGTTGTTATTGCAGAAGCTCCAATGGAATTGATTGTTTAATGATTAAAAAAAATTGTTTTATTTTTTAATTTTTTGAATTCAAATTTTGAGGCTAATATTCGAAAAAAAAATTATTATTATTTTTAAAAAATATATTTGGCTGATGTAGAATATGCATTTTTTAAATTGTAAAGAAAACAATTAATCTTAATTGACATAAAAACTGATTTCTTGATAATAATAATAATAATAATAATAAACTTTGAAAACAAGCTAGAATTTTATTGGATGATGACTTTGTATGAGTTGAGAATCTGCATGGACATAGTTTAGGCCATAGGCATTTCGTTTTCTAAAGATAGAGGGCCTCCCTCGTTATATTTTCTTGGCCAAACCCACCTACGCAATTTCTTCCATTCAATTACGTGCTATTGGTTTCACGTGACTATAACCCTATATATATATATATATATTGTTTACAATATTGTTTGTATGCATTAATTTATTAAATACCAAATCTTCTTTCTTCTAATCATATATTTGTTATTAATTATTGTAGTAGCAACCGACAGATGATTCTTGAAATGATCATTATCCATATTTATTCTCATCCACAAAACTAAACCCCTTCTTTTCTTAAATTCCACCCCAGGTAACATATTCAAATCAATTTACATATCAACTGATATTAAGCTTTTCTTTTTCTAAATAATTTTAAACAGACATTGTTGTTGACATTTTAATATATCTAAAAAAATATAATAAATTCTCATAAATGATGATTTTAAGATTTGAATTCATAAATTCAAAAAAAAATAAATTGTTATCAATCTTTTTTCGTTTCGAAATGACAAATGTAATATTTAGAACATAGCATGTATGAAAAAACTCCAACAATCTCACAATCAAGTTAGAACAAATTAGAAAATTGCAATGCAAGAACTTCATTATTTATAAAGAAATAATAACTTAACGACTAAATAAACTTAAAAGCTAAAATTAGACTAATTAAAAATATAAATTTTACTAAAAATTACTAAAATACAAATTTTCTTTTTTTCTAAATAATAAAATAAATAAAACAAAACACACGGCCGCGTAAGCTCACCGTAGCAATGTTGCCGCATCTTATTTCTCCATTTTAATGACATTTGCCCTGTTTTTATCTTTATTTGATCCTTGCTCTTTTTGATGTGTTGAATGTAGTCCTTGAACTATAAAAGTCTTGCAATTTAATTCAATGATTAAAAACTAATTGAAAAATATTTATTTTGACCCTGATATATACCCCTTTAGCCACGTCGAAAGTTTATGGTGGTTTATTGTATGAAGAATCCAAAGATTACTTCCCATTTTAAAGAAAAACCTAATTAATGGGATTGCTTTAGCTCAAAAGTCACTCAATTTGTCAAAAAGAGAGGGGAAAAAAAAGAAGGAAGAAATACATGGCTACATGCAAAACGTGAATTGACCCCCTCAACTTCCACAACCTACCAGTGACCTTGAAAATCCAAATCCCCCAAATCAAAGCCTTGAAAATAGTATGCTAATTTGCGCAATCTCAGGCAATTAAAGAAGAAAATTCTACATTACCAAACGTAATAATAAGCAGCAAAACAAAACAGCTGATAAAATTGCATGTGCAAGTGGGGTCATGGGCTTAGTCCTTAGCCGCTGGTACGTATTGCCTACTCAGAACATTTGCATGTGCGCTCTGATTCTCGAAAGAAAATATGAAAAAAGAGGATCGGTATTTTGATTTTTTTGTGGCTTTGGCTATCTCAAATTCTCAGACTCCCTAACGTTATGCTTTGTTAACTTGTCTCCACCGGCTACCTACGTCCACATCAAAACTGCCCTCGAGAACCTACCCCTCTCCATTGCCTATATAAGGCGTACATGCTCTCATTTCCTTTGTACTAAACACCAATCACTTAGCATTCAACACTCTTTCTCACCTAGCAGGAAAAAAATACACATCACCACAAACAATGGCAATGGCAGCTAGTACTTGTCTCCTCTTCTTTGTGCTCAATTTGTGCCTTAGAGGCACTTATGGGGACTATGGAGGGTGGCAAAGTGGTCATGCTACTTTCTATGGTGGGGGTGATGCTTCTGGGACAATGGGTAAGTTTAAGCAACTTATCTTTGTAGTAATACTAATTTCAACGAAAGGCTTTTCTAAATTCACTTTTAGGACAATTTCAATCATTAAATTTGTAAGGTAGAATCTATTTATTCAATTCAATGCATGAAATGTTTGGTAACCATATTCGCTAAACATATATATATATATATATATATGGCAAAGATAAAAGTAAAATATTATTACAACGGATGGGACACCATCTACCAATTACAGCAAGTCCATGTATCAAACTCTAGTACAAAAAATTCTTAGTACTTAAAATGTCAGAAATTGTCTAGTGGCCTCAAAATGTGAATTACAAGATTGGCATTTTCTTTTAAACAAAAGTTTAGGCTCAAATTTCTCATGGATATTATGTACTAAATATTGCAGGAGGTGCTTGTGGGTATGGCAATTTGTACAGCCAAGGTTATGGTACTAACACTGCAGCACTTAGTACTGCCCTATTCAACAATGGCTTGAGCTGTGGTTCTTGTTATGAGATGAGATGTGACAGTGACCCCAAATGGTGCCTCCCTGGGTCCATCACCGTCACAGCCACTAACTTCTGCCCCCTAACAATGCCTTGCCTAATGACAACGGTGGCTGGTGTAATCCTCCCCTCCAACATTTTGACATGGCTGAACCAGCTTTCTTGCAAATTGCTCAATACAGAGCTGGAATCGTGCCAATTTCATTCAGAAGGTAAAATCAACCTCTAAAATTTGAACTCTTCACCTCTCAATATTTGCATGCAATCAACTATATATTAACGAATTGACAAGTGACTTCTATTCGTTAATTACAATTAAATATGCTAAGTTAATCAGTTTCAATTCATTCCATATGCTTATATATAAGCTCATCTCTTTAATATACTCTGTTTTTGGTTCAAACAGGGTCCCCTGTGTCAAGAAAGGAGGAATAAGGTTTACCATCAATGGGCACTCTTACTTTAACTTGGTGTTGATCACAAATGTTGCTGGAGCAGGAGACATCCATTCAGTGTCAATCAAGGGGTCTAAGACAGGGTGGCAAGCTATGTCAAGGAACTGGGGCCAGAACTGGCAAAGCAATTCATACCTCAATGGCCAAAGCCTTTCTTTCCAAGTCACCACAAGTGATGGCAGGACTGTGACTAGCTACAACGTTGCGCCAGCGGACTGGCAATTTGGCCAAACATTTGCAGGTGGCCAATTCTAGATTTTGAGGACAAAAAAGTACCATTGATTGTGGTTTGATAACATCTGTGTATGGTCTTGGACCATTATTGTTTGTGAGAAAGGAAAAGGGGTAGGTTAGGAAAGGCATGGCCAGTATCACTGGCTGTTGCTGTGGTGGTTTATTAGCACCCGCTAGGCCTTTATAATATATATATATATATGCAGCATGTAATTTGTGAGCTATGGTTACTTTACATACATAGGATAGGAATGTTCATCTGTTGCCTTTTGCTTGATTTTGAGGCAATGAACATCAGTATTGGGTTGGTATATGTGTTCCCCAGTCTGGTGTGAAACCCCGTTGGAACACTTTAAATTTGCAGAATTTTATTGTATACTAATTTCTTTTTTATGAATAAAATTCCATTATATATACATAGATGTACGGTACCAACAAATTTCTAGCCAGTCTTTGCAGAGTAGCATCCTTTTAAGGCTTGCATTCCACCATTTTGCGCTTATAACAACTAACAACTCAGTGTTGGCCATATCAAAATTAGTAATCTCTTTCTATAAGCCAGCTCCACCTGATGATCAGCACCAGCTATATCCTCATAAACTATAGGGAATTAATTATTTGTAGTCGAAATCAAATAAGCGATTTGGCTAATCTCCAAGATGCTTAAATAGCAAAAGGAAATAAAGACATTTACATGCGATACCAATCACAAATCATATTCTTTATGGGGATTCTTTGTTTGGGTTAGAAGATCGTGTTGGAAAAGTATGAACACAGACCATGTCCTTGGTCAACGTTTTCCAGTCAATGAATGTGTTGTTTTTCCTTGCCATAGATGAAACGGTTGGGAGATTTTTCTATTGATTTTAGCATATAGCAGTAATAATAGAATAATTATTATCTAGAAGAAAAAGGGTGACAACGCATGCTCTCTCCCTACAAGATCAACTTCTAAATAACATAATACGCTTGTCTTTCAAAATACAACAATCCGTTATAATTCTTGAAGGCAGCAAAGAATTCCTCAAACCAACAATAACCTTATCTAGAAGTGAATTCTTGAAAATTGATCGGACGATCGATCAACGGAGTCAATCAAGATGCAAAGAGCTAATATTGTGACTTGTAAAAATAACTTTCAACTAACTAACGAAACGATGCAAATAATGAGAGGTATGGGAGGAGAAGCAAGAGATGCTAATAAGGCTCAAGTCAAGTGACTTATAGGTGGGTAGTTAAAGTTCCAACATATAAAGATTTAGATATTGTGAGTGAAAAAGTTTTAAAATGTAGAGTTCAAGGGTTTATTTTGCCAAAAATAAAAAATACCGAAGTTAAAAGTTTTCTAATATCAAAATTCTAATCCCCTCATAATGATGTGAGGTTGATATTTATAGTGAAAGAAAATGATCCTTAATCACTAAGATCATGCCAATTCATCTAAATTTGGACGAGATAGATTTGGCTTGAAAGATTTAGGTTTTTTAGAGTAAACTATTTCAACTTGCTAGAAAAAAACTAAAAAAAAATAATAATAATTGGATCTTTCTTTAGCGGACTCTTTTCCGAACTCACCAAGCCAATCTCCTTAATGCAACTCTAATATAAAACATGGACACGGATCCTCGCTAAAATACTCGTTTCTATCCTTGTAACCCATGATCCTATCCTAAGTTATGTTTATCCTCGGTCTAATCCATTTGTAGTATAGCTTGGGTCCATGTTAATAAATCAAGGAAAGTAACATAAATTTGCATATAATAACAAATTAGTTAAGTTATTTATTTAATTTTTATAGACAAGTTGAACCTATACATTTAGTTCCTTGCACGGATAGCTTTGCTAGCTAGGGTGCTCGTGCAACCATGTATAGCGAGATAGAGAGAAAAATAAAAATAATAACATAATAATAATAATAACAATAAAGCTACAAAACATAATCGGACAATAATTAGAGTAAACTTGCGGCAAGTCTTTCGATGCTTAGAAACCAATTGCGATATGCGATAGGCTCACTAAAAGCCTCCCAACGTATACCAATTCACCATCGGCCTCCTAATGCGTACCAATTGCTTGCAAACTCTCCATAAGCCTCCTTGTTTAACATGTAATGTAAAAAATTAATAATAATTTTTTTTATCGGTTCTAAATTAGAAAAAAAAGCCTAGAAAAAGCTTCTGGAGTAGATTTTGACACTAAAAACAACCTTTAATGGATTCTCTATCACCGTCAAGTTGTAGACCTCCGAATTAGCTTTCTAGATTGATAATATTTGCATTAAATGGATACTCGAATAAAAAATTATGTTTTGTAGAGTTAGCTATGCACATTTACTCTTTTATATAATCTCCTTTGACTTTCTAAACCCCAAAAAAACCTATTAAGGCTATGTTCAAAATTTCAATTTTTTTAAATACCAATATAAAGGGAAAAAAAAAGCTAATTGTCAAAAAAAAAAAAAAATTGCTTCATATATATTTGAGAGTGTTGCGGGACGACGTAGAGGTAAGGGTACGTGTTGAGGTGAAAATAGGGAAAATGAGCAAAAATAATTAGAGTCGCCACCTAGTATTATATTTACTAGAAAAACCTATGATTGGTATGTTCATAGTTTTAAGTAAAGGGTTTATTATGGGTAGGAAAGATTAAAAATCATCCTACCTCATCTTGCTTAAGGCAAGCTACATTGCATACAATATTGATTTGATTTTTGATTTTTTTTAATGGTGAAAGTCTATATTTATTTCCAAACATTTGCCTATTGATCGAGTGATTAAGAATTCGATCGATCAAAGACCTTGTTCTCACTCTATAATGAATAGCTAAGAAAAAAAAAAGAAAAAGACATAATGCATGCAAAAATATATTGCTAATGCGACTTAAATGGTGTGTGTGAAAACAAAACTTAAAAATAGGTAAATAGGCCAACATACAAAATAGGCAAATTGACAAAACAGAAAAATAGGTAGAGATACTTCACAAGGAAAGATTGCATGTTAATCGGATATAATACGCTATCTAAATACTCGTGTAGAAGAATTGAAACAAAAAATAGGGTTAACCGAGAGCAACTAGTCGGATCTAAAGAAGAACACATCGTGGCTATGCGAAAGGTGACAAAAGAAAGAGATACCTTAAGAAAAGAAGTTGCTGAGTGGGGAAGTAGGCCTATGGAATACCATTTACAAGCTTAGAATACTAATAATTATGCCTTGAGGATCTAACACACTATAGAGCTCTTAGCTAATGGTATACGACCAAAAGATGAAGAAGTTCAACTATTTTACGAGAAGCTCCGAATGCTCATAAATGGCATGATTTCCTATGAAGGCTTGAGGTCTGTGGCTAAACTTAGAATAGGGTTTCATATGTAAATGGACTTTTTTTTCATTATAATGTTTTCTTTATGTCATATTTAGAATGTGATAAAAGTTGTGCTTTCAATAAGAATGGTTCTAAGTCTTGACATCACTATCAAAGTCCCATCATTCTAGAACTCATGAATAATCATATCATGACTGAAATTGGAGGTATATATATCTCCCTAATCACCTAAGTGTCCGTAGGTTAATTTTTCCCTCGGTGAGTACTAGCTTGATCCGACCTATCGTCGACGAGATTCTATCATGATTTATTGTGCATCAAACAAAGAAAGGAATCTAACTTGATACAAAATCATGCATTTGATCTAGTATTTATTGTATATATTTGTGCAATTTGATCTCTTTTAGGAATTAAACATAGGTCGCTCTACTCAATCCCCTCCGTGCGTCTACAACACTCAACTTCAAACTTGTCAAATGAAAAATAAAGAAAGACCATGGCAAGAACCAATTAGTCAACAAAAGTTTAACTCACTAAAAGAAAGTGTGGCTCGGATGACCTCCATATTAAAACAAACATTAAAAAGGGAACGTAGCTTGAATCAAGGACGAAACAACCCAAAATACCATATGTTGTTCCATTGCCCAATCGATCGGGGCTTTTTAATCAAGTGATTTTCCATGCTGAAGGCTCACATCTTGTTGGAGCGTTTTCCTATCTAATGGACCCTCGATTCCCGTAAATGCCACCTATGCCTACTCGAAGAAAAGACTCATTATTATAAGGCAATTGAAGGTCTTAGCATTGACGGACTCACGACACTCAAAGAACACATAAGAACGATAGAAGGGGAAGAAACATGCAATCCTATCGGGGCCTCGTAAAATTTTTTAGTGTCGGATGTGGTAATTTTAATGAAGTTCAAAGTGCTAGATTTTCTCAAGTACACTAGAGCCTAGTGACCCATGATCGATTTGAAGTTTTACTATAGTAAGATGGAAAAAATGGTTCATGATGAAAAGCCGCCGATCTATTTATTTTAAGAAAGTCTAGGGGGTTTAGCTCTAATTAGAGGGATCGAAGATTAGAAGGTGGAAGAATATAGTTAATGCTTTCTTTAAGCACTATAATTTCAACATGGAGGTGGCGCTAAATAGATCGGACCTTTAAGGAATAGAGAAGGGGCCAAGAGAAACGAGTTAAAGAGTATACCCACCATTGCCGAATATAAGTTGATTTTGATTTTCTCAAATATATTCAAAGAAACATACTTTGAATATCCGATTAGTAATGCCTCGACTAACTTTACCGATATAGTGGTCATCATCGAGAGGGTCGAATTAGCTTTCAAGGCTGAAAAGATTTTTGGAGGAATGGAGAAAAGGGCGAATGTTGGAGTAAAAAGAAAAGAAGGAGAAGTTCACCAAGTGGGCTCGCATAGGCCCAAAAGCATTTAGAACAACCCAAAGCCATATACCCATTAAAGACAATACCAAGTATAGGCACTAGCTTACCCCCAACCACCTTACCAAACACATTTTATAGCATTATCTTTCCCGCAACTCAAATAAGATCGCTCATACCGGACTAAACCTATTCACCATACCAACCAAACCCATCACCCTAATACAACCCAACGATGCCCACTTATCAAAATAACTAATTTTCTCGCTTAGTCGGACCATCATATGGTCTTT